ATATGAGTATGGTGAGTATGCCTAAAACATTTACCATGATGAGGAGAGAAAGTAGAGAAAAAAAGGAGTTTACCTTGCATTTGCCCGCCAGTATGAGCCTCTGTGATTGATATCTCGGCTAGGAAAGAAGCTCGATACACTCACGTTTATTACTCTTGCCTGTTTTAATTGATATAACTATGAATTCGGACCAAGTTCATTTTTGTCGGGTCGTGGCTACTTTGGCGTAAGTTCTACTTGAGCATTTCCTAGTTGCGTTGTTGTAAAGCGTAGGCTAACATAGATGTAGAGTAGCAATAAGATGTGTGTTAGAGAGAAAAGCGACAGTGGATACATTGTCGATGGTGGCTATGAGTTGGGGCTGACATGAACATACGAGTTTATTGCATAGCTCTTATTTGACTTGTATCTCGATAAATGTTGCTTTCTGCCTGGTTTACGTCTTTACGACAATCTGGTCATCGATACGATGTTGCAATTTATTTTTTTTGTCCATCGCTCTGAATGTAAATTGCAGTCAGAATGTAGTTAGGATTGAGTACACATGATAAGAATGTATGATGGGCGGAGGCGGATCTATGATTGTCATAATGTAGTGGGTTACCGGTCGTATCGAGTGTTGTGGAAAAGAAAGAAGGAGGGCAATGTGAAAGGAATAAAAAGGAAAAGAGGGGATAAGGAGTACGATGCAGCTGCCAAATGGGTCAACCAACTAAGTGTTGTAGTGAATTAGTTGACTGGACTATTGTTGCAAAGACCTTGATTGGCCAAACCTCTGACTGATGAACAATTGATCGGTGGATGCTTGAACGCTGCCCAAAGTGATAAGTGCAGCTACCGGCGACATTGTAAGGTTGGACTACGACTTTGGGGTGTTTCGGCATTAACTGGAAAAAAAAGGTTATGCGGTTGTGTTCAAAAGGTTGATAAGTTGACTTCAAAAAGAAATAAGAAGTAAAAGAGAGAGTGGGAGACATATAAGGATGACACGACCAAAACCGGAGGACGTCGTAGTAGTTGGTTGCTGGTATGAGACCCTCATGAGTCGAAGACTTTTAAGACCTCCTTTGACAGAGTTTGAGTGACCCCCCCACCTTGATAGTCTGAGTGTTATAATCACCTTCAACCCTCTCTTACTATCTATGAGGCTTCTTTCATGAGAAAACAGACTGACAAAACCTATTTTGACCAGATTGTGTTTTACTACATTGAGCGTCTGGTTGCCCATCGATTAAGGGAGCTCTGTCGGAGTTCATGTAGAACTCTAGAGGTAGGGAACCATAAGGTGTACACACCTTAATTTGTTTTCCCGTATTCCGTTACTAGTACGACCCTTTATCAAATTGTTTATATGACAATGTGATATATATTTCTTAACTTTCTCCACGAACAAATAACTTGAGTACCGCTGTACCTTCACTTGTCTTGGCAAGGTTACCTAGTTCAACTCTACCAATTCAGCCAATGTGGTCATATTGCCAAAACCGAGTTATTTCATATCACTTTATTGTTGTACACATACAATATCAAATAAATCTAGCATTCTTGACATATTATATCATTTTGATATAGGATTATTTTATATAATATATTAGATAATAAACTATTTTTATATTACCATACAATTAGATAATTAGATATACATCTCATGTATAATATTTACCTAGGAAGATTTTTATGCCTGGTCGGACATGTGACGCCCGGAGTACCCAAGTGTGCAAAAAAAAAAAAAAAATCTTTTTTTTTTTGCTTTTCCACACTTTCTTAGAGTATTACGAGTAAGAAGTTCACACATCATAAAGTATCAAACCACACAGATTGAAGAAAGATAGTACAAAGTCGATCTCATCTTCCATTCCGCAACATAAACATGAAGTACGCCACAACACCCAAGTTCCACCATTCCTTCCGTCAAACCCTGCGGTCTTCCCAGGCGGAAAGTCCGAGGACCGAAAGAGGACAATCATAGCTTCAATCATGCCTAATATACCCTAAGGTTCTACGTCCTACACCGATCCTCAGGATCGACCCTACGCTTCGTCAGCCAACACGATGCCATTCCGACAGTCTACTGGAGCCTGGGCTGGAAAGACTCGTAGTACCCAGTTCCCAAAACAAAATAGGGCCCCTCATTCGAGTTAGTAGGCCCAAAGGGGTCCGCTCCCCGTGTGGGCAATCAAAACCCGTACACTAAAAGTTCGTCACAACAAACCTTCCAGAGCCTCAAACGAAAAAACAACAATTCAGAACTCAACTATCAGCGAAAAATCGCAGAAAACCCTGTCACTACAAAGCTTCCAGATCCTCAAACGAAAAAACAACAATTCAGAACTCAACTATCAGCGGAAAAAAAAAAAAAAAACTATCACTACAAAGGTAACATGCAAAAGGACAAGAAGACCAGTGATTGTTGCAGTACGAGATCTTGGCAAAAAATCCGCTCAACTCTGAATCATTTCCGTCGCCAACTTCCATTCATCGCCACAACCATGCGCGAAGCGTTTCAGTACACGGAGAAAGAAATCCACGGAAACATCTTTCAAACGTGACTCCCTCCTCAAACTGATGACTCGTCGAGGTATCTCATGCCGAATGGAGGTGTTGCGATCGATTCGGTGTAGGTGACTAGCAAGTACCGCACTCTTCTGCATTTTTCTCCCCCAAGAATGGAATGATTGACCACTCAAGAATACTAACTCATCATCCCTCCATATCGAATCCTCGTTCTTCGATACCTGTACACATACAATGAACGGAAAGATTGCATGAACTCGGATTTCGCAACCAAGAAAGTCCCAAGTCCCCGTCCCATCATCTGTTCTCTTCAGACTGAGATTTTTCGGGTAACATTCCTCAAATGTGGTAACAATCTTACTAATATCCCGAGGTTCCGATTTCTCAAAAACGATAAACAGACTGACGTCATCAATCAATCGCACGCCCAGAACGTTCCGTCTTAATTTTCCTTGATTATTCAGGAACAGGAACTCAGAGCGAGCACACATAATACAAGCGAGGGGGGGACTCGTGCTCTTTCCCATGGAAATCCTCACAATCTGTTGCGGAAGTACCCCTAGAGCAAGGGTATATGTGTGCTTGAGCTCGAATGCAACAAACTGTCGAATGTCTGCAAACTCGACAAGTCTCCCGTTATCATAGTCCATTGTCCTCCCAAAACTCGCCCCCTTACCTCGAGGATTAACTCGCACAAAGGACCTGTTTCTTGAAGCGTGGTACTCAAGGAGCCAGTCTACCGCATCCAATATCTCCTGATGCGGTAGGCGACTAAACATATCCTTTATATCAAAGGATCGTGCAATGACGTTAGGTTCGGTGAACAAGTGGGTCAACTTCTTGTTAAAACCTGTGAAGGTACAGTTCAGATCGGATAGGGCTTTCAAATTAAAGTGTCAGTCACGAGGGAGATGGTACAACAGGTGGTTAAGGGCCTTAGACGCTATCTTACTGGTCCGTGAAGTAGGTTCCGAATATGAAGGGCAAATGGGGCGAAATCGATCCAAGTCCTTATGCTTAGGCATTGAATAGGCTTGGCCAATGGTTCCCTTGTTATCCCAACGGGAGAATTCAAGTAACCCATTCTCTACCAAATCTTCTTTCATCTTCTGAGTTACGGCTTGGGGTGAAGCATCAATGGGTACATATCCGTCACTTCTGATGAACAAGTCCATCATGCCTTCATAATACAACAGAGGGCACATGATCAGGGTCTCCCCTGGATTCCGGTCCAAAGGACTAAGGACGAGCCCCGTCAGCCGCACCTTCAACTCCAATACCTCCTGCGTGTCTAAAAATACTTTATCACCCGCCTCGGTCTTTATCAGACAGCGAGTCAATTCGGCATTCGAAATACAAATCGTACGATCTTTGATGTTTGCCCACTTCCCAAACGCTGCAATGGTCTCCTCCCCCAAAGTCTTCAATTTGTCCTTCCGACGGGCTTTGGGCACATTATTAGAGTTTATCAGCAGGGGAGAGACGTTCTCCAACTCACGTAAACGAAAACACACGTGGCCTCGTACCCGTGGGTACGGCATGCCTGCGCAAGCGCAGCGTAACACATCCAAACGTGCAGACGCACGATGGTTGTGCAGCAATCTCGCAATATTGGGATTTCGGATCCAAATAATGTGAAGCGATCTACGTGCGCATCGGATGACGCAAGGAGGAAGCGTAAGCTCCTTTGACTTATCGTTGACCAGTTTACGAATTTCAACAACTTTAAGCCGATCGTCGAACAACAGACGAACAACAATACGAGCAGAAAAATTAAAGCCAAACCCATCTTTCACACATCGCCCGATCAAGCGTCTGAAATAGGCCCACGTACTCTTCCTTTCAAAGTCCTGGATTGAATTGAACAGACTAGACAGTGAATTCATATCCCAACGACGCAATGCATCCAATCGTTTGGGATTACGTAAGAGGGCAGCAAGCACTGGTTTGTTCACACTCTTACGCGCCTTCCACCGTCTCAAGTATCGAAAAAGGATACTCCCCGATTTTTCGAACGCAGATTTAAACTGCTTCAATTTTTTGACCACCCCATCAATTTCCACGACCGAGGATCCAAACGCCTTACGTATTCTGCACCACTTCGAACACCAAGTCCTACCCCCATCCGTCAACAAGGTGAATTCCCAAATTCCTCGTTCCTTCTGACTACGCAAAATCTCAAAGACATTAACAGACCACGGGTCGTCAACACAAAGCTGGACTTTCACTGGTATGGTAGATTGCACGTCGCAACCACTATTAGACTGTATCACAGGTTTACTGCTACGTTCACGTTTCCCACGATGGTTACGCTTACGGCTCATAGCCTTGCCAGACTTCCCAGATACGTTTAAGTGTGGACTCCATTGTCTAATAAAAGTGGACTCAACTGTAATAAGGTCATTTGTCTCAACAACTTCGATAGGCAACAAGGCGTAAGATTCCATGCCAATGCATTTCCACCAGCGATATAGGTGAGTATTTTTAGAATTCCGTCTAAATACTGAGACATGTTCCCTCCACCGCACATGCGGTGGTCGAGATGTCTGGCCCACGTATTGAGACTTGCACTCCAAGGACGTAATTACATACACACAACTCGGCAAGTCCAAAAACTCCAATCCATAACGCTGAAACAGTTGAAGCCAGGAATCTACACACTTAGTCAACCAACGGAAACGACCCCTCGGGGATAGTGCCAATACCAAAAAACTAAAAATCCTATCCAACACATCGTCGGCGGAATGCCGGAAAGACGCAATTACCTCAGCAACGGCAATCAATTGATCAGTCGAAAAGCCACATCAGGCTACTCCTCCCAGGTTGTCATCCGCACCACTTGCGGGTGGTGAACCCTCGTCCAATTTGACCAGATCATCGAAGCTTGGCAGGATATCGCCGAATCGCTCCTGAGCACTCTTATCGGCGAGATCAAAGATGGTCTGGACTTTGGTGGAGTAAATAACCCCTTCGTCCTTACAGAACACGCGCAGAGTATCACAATCCTTGCGAGTTAACTCACGCTGAGTAGAGTCCAGGAAAACCATACGCTCCATACGAAGATCGGTCGCCGGAGGTTTGACTGCTGTCAACGCCTTCTTGGTTACACCGCGAGGTCTCCGAACAGCAATCTTGCTCCTAGTCTATTGCAGACGTTCGGAGAGGCAGACGGGACGAATGCCCACCCGCTTGCTAGAGCGTTTGGCCGGAGTAGTCACAGGGGGGCTGTCACCAACAGGAGTATCAGCGCCCCACTTGCATTTCTCCTGGATGGAGTGATTCCACGTTCCCTCAGTGATGGCTTCGACGTCGCTAGTAGCGCCAGAGGAAGAAGAAGGCAGGTCTCCTGATGCAGCCCCTTTCCCCTTCCCGGTCGGGTTAATGACCGTCTTTGGTTGGCCACGGATCACGGTGCCTGCAATAGCCTTCCGTACTTCTGTCTTGATTTCCTCACGAATATCTCCTATTTCATGGAGAGTTGTACCTCCACACCTTTAGCCATCTTCATTTGCTCTTCCTCACGTCTACGCTGCTTCTCAAGTTTACGTGCTGCGCGTTCTTCTTCAGCGGCTCTAGCTGCTTCCTCAGCGCGTCTAGCTTCTTCACGTTCACGCCGTTGTAGCTCCCGCTCGGCTCTTCGTGCGCATTCCATCTCCACGAATTCCTGCATGGATGCGACCGTACGGTCCAGTTCATCGATGCGGCTAGTAGCAGGTTGCACTGTAGAAGCCGGTGGAGGTCCACAGTCACGTGATGGAGAGGTGGTCGTCCGACGGTTGAATTCGGGAAGACAAACAAAACCATCGGCCTCCATTTGACGACGAGCAACTGGGTCCGTCCAGTACCGCCAACAATCCGTGCAGTAATGACCCGTGACGCGGCACCCAAAGCAAACTAGTGGTCCGCGCCTAGGTGGATCATCCCTCCTATCCTCCCGACTACAGTTGCGGGAACCCGTATAACGTTCCCTAGAAGATTCACAGTTGTCCCGCCGCCCACGTTCCGGAGAGTGCCCTCCTCTCCGAGCACTACCTCTGCGATAGTGGTCATCAGCCATGGAGACCCTGCCGAAGACAAGTGCACGATTCGTAGCCGAAGACTTAACCATGCAGCGAACTCGATCGTAATCGTAATAGCACGCCAACGCTCCAGCCGTACTTCAGCCGCACGAGTATCCAGATACAGGTATACTACACATAGTCAAAGCGTRCTCACTCACTCCCAGTATGTTGACTCCAGGTAGGTTCACACGTGCTTCATGAGTATTACGAGTAAGAAGTTCACACATCAGAAGGTATCAAACCACACAAATTGAAGAAAGATAGTATAAAGTCGATCTCATCTTCCATTCCGCAACATAAACATGAAGTACGCCACAACACCCAAGTTCCACCGTTCCTTCCGTCAAACCCTGCGGTCTTCCCAGGCGGAAAGTCCGTGGACCGAAATAGGACAATCATAGCTTCAATCATGCCTAATATACCCTAAGGTTCTACGTCCCACACCGATCGTCAGGATCGACCCTAAGCTTCGTCAGCCAACACCATGCCATTCCGACGGTCTACTAGAGCCTGGGCTGGAAAGGCTCTTAGTACCCGGTTCCCGAAACAAAACAGGGCCCCTCATTCAAGTTAGTAGGCCCAAAGGGGTCCGCTCCCCGTGTGGGCAATCGAACCCCGTACGCTAAAAGTTCCTCACAACAAAGCTTCCAGAGCCTCAAACGAAAAAACAACAATTCAGAACTCAACTATCAACGAAAAATCGCAGAAAACCCTGTCACTACAAAGCTTTCAAATCCTCAAACGAAAAAACAACAATTCAGAACTCAACTATCAGCGAAAAATCACAAAAAAACCTATCACTACAAAGGTAACATGCAAAAGGACAAGAAGAGCAGCGATTGCTGCCGTACGAGATCTTGGCAAAAAATCCGCTCAACTCTGAATCATTTCCTAGAGGACCACAAAACCGGGACCATTTTCTTTTTTTAGAGTTGACTGTCAAGGAGGATAAGGGGATATAAATTAATTTTAAAACGGCTAAAGGGGATTGAAGGGCGGTGCCTTAGTGTGATTCTGTGATATTTTTTTTTATCTCTGATTCTGTGAGGAATTCTAATGTGACCCTCAACCAAAAGTCGTTTGTATTGCAATTCGACACAAAACAAATTCTAGAATTTTATTTATTTATTTACTTATTTATTGCGCTCGGGCTCCCTAGGACCTTGCCCGGTCGGGCACCCCGGGCGTGTATCCGAACGTAAGTTGGGTGTCTGGGCGCCTGAAAAAACAGCCTATATATTTACAATATATAGATAAAAATAAAAATACATAAAAATAAGAATATTAGCATTACAAGGTAGCCAACGTTCGGGTTCCGCCGAACTGCTGAGCCCAAACAACCAAACGTTCGGCTCCCTTGCGGGACTCATTCGGCCAAAACCCGAAAGCCAAAAAAAAAAAAAAAAAAAAAAAAACTCAACAAAACCCGAAAACAAATTATGTTATACATAAGGCGGCCAACCAGGCCGCCCGGGTCACCATATTTTCCTAGACGACCCAACCGTGCAAGAACTAGGGAAGCTCCTAGCAAAAAAAACAAAAAACTTAAAAAAAAAAAAAAAAAAAAAAANAACCTTACGAGTAACCCTCAGGGATGGCAAAATGGGTAGCCGCTCCCGGCATATCTAGGGACCGTCATTTCAGCCCGATCTGAGGCTAGGCCTCGAATGGCCGGCCGCAAGGGGGCATCGCGGGGACTAACCCCGCTGCAACGTTTTTGCAGCATACGACCGCGGTCGAAATGAGGCCTCAATTTTTTGTCTATTTTAGTACCTGTCTCTTATACACATCTAGATGTGTATAAGAGACAGCGGTCGTATGCTGCAAAAACGTTGCAGCGGGGTTAGTCCCCGCGATGCCCCCTCAGGGATGGCAAAATGGGTAGCTGCTCCCGGCATATCTAGGGACCTGTCTCTTATACACATCTAGATGTGTATAAGAGACAGGAAAAAAAAACAGAACAACGTTTGCTTCAGGGTCACATTGAAATTCGTTAAAAAAAAAAAAGAAAAATAAAAGAAAAATAAAGGTTAAAAAATATTTTTTATTTTATATTTTTTTGGTCCAGCCAAGCAATTGACATCGAGCCACTCTGGTAGCCTAAGTTATACATAAAACTAAACTCTACATTTTTTTCTTCGAGGCGACATCAAAATTCTTTACCAAGTTTAAAATAAAAAATCAAGTAAAAACCTATGTTATCAAAGTGGTACGAGGTTATTTATCTGGTCAGACAAATATGTATATAAATATATATATATATATATATACAGGGTTACTTGACCGAACATTCGGGAGGGCCCGGGCTGGCCCCCAAACGTTCGGGCGTTCGGGGTCCCGTTCGGGGCCCGAACACCTCCAGGTTCGGCCCCCGCCCAAAAATGTTTCGGGGCCTAAACACAAGTTTTGTTTTCTCAATTTTTTTTTGTGAGTTCTCTATATTGTAAACTACACGCCTATAAATTTTGAAGTCATTCTGCTCAGCCAAAAAAAACATTAAAAATCGTCAAAAATGGGTGTGTCAAAACGTGTTCGCCCACTCGCTATTTTCTTTTTTTTCACTTTTAATTTTTTGTTTTAACTTTATTTTGGGGCCTAAAAAAAATTCTTATTTTTTGAAACATTTGTAATGAGTTATTGATTACATAAATCACATATCTGTAAATTTTCAGGTCATTTGTCAATGCCTAAAAATAATTAAAAATCGGCAAAGATAGCGGTGTCGAAAAAGTGTTGGCACACTCACTCGTTTTAATCCTCTTTTTATTTTTTCTTATTTTTATCATAGTGTTTATTTTCCGTATTGTATCTTTAATTCAAAGTTGGTAAAGAATTTGGATGTAGTGCCCAGGTAAATGTTGTTTAGTTTATATTTTTCCATAACATAGTTTTTTTCGGAATTTTTCTAAAACGTTTTTTTTTTTTTTTCCGCGTTCGGCTTGAACGGCCGAACGCCTCCCG